AAGGCTCCAAAGCGGTGTTGCAAGGGTCGGTGACGGCACGGGGCACAGTGACCACAGTGCGTTCCTCGAAGACTGCTCAGGGTCATGGGACCGTTGCTCACTAGGAAAAGCTGCAATTTTAAGTGTGAAGCAATCTCTAAAGGCCCTGCATAAGCATAACATGCGTTAGTAAGAGGTGTGTAACACTAGGACATATTCTCCCACTTCGTTGGGTTTAGAAATGAGCTAGTTAGAGCTTTTAAGGATTATAAAGATCATACACAGATGTGAATTGCTTTCTTATTGCACTAGAACTGCATCAGAGCCAAGTAGTATATGCTGGCACTTAGATCCAAAGCTGAAAGTGTAGGAGCTTCTGTCCAGTGGCCCAGGAGAGAAATAGTTGCAAAATTCAGTGTGAAATCATAATATTCGGAAGAATGCCTGAATTCTCAGTGGACTGACAGTGCAAGCTCATATTGTGAAGATTCTAAAGAGGCTCAGCACCAATTTAAAATGTAGCAAAAGTAATGATGTTAATCTGCATGAAGTTAGTGTAGTTATTTCTGGTTTGGGAGTCCTTGGCTTGCTTGCTCAACATCCACACACATTAGCAAGAGGTTTTAGTCAAGTGAAGAGAACGGTCACAGGGTTTAGGCGCTGGTTTTTCCACTGCAGTCAGTTTAGTCAAAGAAACAGCTTCTGTCAGGTGGCTCATGAGGGAGACCGATTTACTGCATTCTTCCATAGAGTGGTAAACTGAAGTGCTAAATCAAGCCTAAGAATTGCAGCAAATATATCACAGGAGTAGTTGTTTCTTCCTGGAAAGGATCCCACTGCTTTCTATCCCTTAGTGAAACATATTCTCATTCCAATGATAGTGGAACACACAAGGGCTACATTTTTCAGAAAATGGTACTGTGCTTTTTCTTTTTAAGCTTGAGTTGTGTTGCAGGCGAAGCAGCACAGTCTGCATCCTGCAGTCAGTTTTACACTGAATCTGCTCTCCCATTGCTCACGTATCACTTCACACAAGTGCTGGGCACGTTGGGCTGTGTGTGCCAAAAGAACGAAATCAGTACGAAAGGAGAACCCAGGTCTGCAGGGACCAGCCATTATGCCCCCAAGAAGTCCAACATGATTACTTTCGAGGCCTGAAATAAAATAGCAGGCTTCTCTCTCATGAAAGAGAATAAAACCTGTTCAGATTTCCCTAAGAGCTTTACAGAACATAAGCTGCTGTATTGCAAGCACAGTTTTCTTTATTTTCAGTACTCCAGAAATAGCAACCTATTCTTATTACCATGGTTCAGCACCCCCTCGAGCAAAGGAATACTTTTAGCTTTCAGTACAGAAACTCTGGCCAGTGAAACCCAGAGCCTGATCCTCACTTCAAGTCTGTGAAATTATTCATGTAAGTTTTCCAGATCGTGTCCAAAGAATGCAGTTACAAATGGGTTATATCCTCTGCTTACCTTTTAGGCTCAGTTCAGCACAGATCACGGCTGAAGCTGGTCAATGGCAGCTGCTCTCTAAAACCAGCTTCACTTTCTGAAGGCACTTGTCCAGCACTGTATGCTTCACTTTCTGACTTCCACCACAGAGTGGGTGCACCCAGAGTCCCCGTCTTTCATATTCACTGTCCATCTATTCCTTCTTTCTGCTTAGTAAGACACCTTCTTATTCTTGCAACCTACCTCTGCATTTTGTCAACACTGGCACAGTCTTTACCTGTATTCTTTATATTTTTTACTTTTTTTTTTAATCCCTTGGATGCTGTTTCACAGTACATGACCTTTGTGAAGTGGAAGATTCCTAAGACAGGGCTGTTTTTTCCTAGTAGGTAATTTAACACTTATTTTCAGTGCATTATGTGGTTGTGAGAATCAAGAGACTAATTTATTCTCAGCCATTTCTTCTATGTTTCCAAGAGTGAAACCCAGTGGATTTTCACATAATGGATGCCCCCAAATTAACTGCCTAAAATGACCCTTTGACTCCAACACACTGTGCCCTTCCTTGCTTTCTGAAAACTTCCCTGTTGTTTGGTAACTGCCAGCTGTGCAGCGCTATTTGGAACAGTTCTGTCTTGTGTGCATTTGATCTCCCTTCCAGGAGTTTGTATGCCCGCTTGGCACACAAACCTCATTGTGTGCCCAGCAGGAACACCCTGTGCCGCTCGTGAGGGCAGTGCTGTCCCTGGCTGGCACTGCCACCCGCTCCCAGCCCTGCTGCCTCCCGTGGTGATGGCCACTGCTTCAGCATCTGCAGATCTTCAGATTGAAGAGCTAAGTAACTTCACAGCCACTTGATCCATTATTAAATGAGAACAGACCGGAATGGAGCAAAAAAGGCTCAGGGGAGACCTTGTAACAGTCTTCCAATACCTTAAGTGGCTGACAAGAAATCTGGAGAGGGATTTTTTACAAGGGTCTGTAGTGACAGGACAAGGGGGAATGGCTTTAACCTGCCAGAGGGGAGACTGAGATGAGCTCTTAGGCAGAAGTTCTGCCCTGTGAGGGTGCTGAGGTGCTGGCACAGGGTGCCCAGAGAAGCTGTGGCTGCCCCATCCCGGGCAGTGTTCAAGGTCAGGCTGGACACAGGGGCTTGGAGCAACCTGCTCTAGTGGAAGGTGTCCCTGCTTGTGGCAGGGAGTTGTAACTGGATGAGCTCTAAGGTCCCTTCTAACCGAAACCAGTCTAGATTCCATGGTTCTATGAAACACACCGTCTTTGGAAAAACAAGGAACTCCTCTTCAACAGTTACACAAGCTTCCTCTAGTTAAAACATTGCTTGTGACAATTGTTTTAGTGCCTTTTCCTGCAGTCCGATAGGTTTGACACATTTTACCATACGGATAGTTACGATTAGTCTGTTTCTATTTCATTCCTGCATAACACCTAAATTTTACCAGCTACCCAGGGCTAAATGGCAGTATGCCTTTGAGTGGTGGTGAGGGAATTTTGCCACAGACTTACTATGATTCAAGAAAGACTGATACAAGATTTAAAAGATTAAATGTTTTTCTAGATGTCTGCTAATGTCCCGGTCCCTTCATTACAAAGTACAGAGCAGTGTGCCTCTGTACTTTTCACTTCCCTGAACTAGCTACTGCTTCCTGACAGAAGCTACACCTGCAGGACAGTCCAGCTTTCCCAGTAACAGGCAGAGATCTGCTCTTAGAATTCAGAAAGCAAATGTAGAAATAGGAAATTTCTGGAGAGCCATGACCTAGCATCCAACCATGCCCAACAATTCCGTGAACAACACAGTCACTGCTTCCTGACCATGTGTTATCAGGAAGACTTTCCAGTGTATTGTAAAAATGACTGGCCAAATGATGCAGAGGAGACTTGAGGTTTTATTCTGGGCTTAGAAGGGAAAATCAAGGATTTTCCAAATCCATTAAAATGCATCTGAAATTGGGGAAAAATACGTTGTTTGAAACTCACCCATGTAGATGTAAAAGAGGGAATGCTCACCTTCAGCAGACCCTGTGATTAGCAGCAGACGTCTCTACTTGGAGCCCTCATTAATTCTTTCTTGTACCACCAGATTATTGTCACTGAGTCAGCTTGAAAACAAAACTATGGAACCACAGTTTAAGTAGAATTTTATCAGGAAAAAAGCAAAAATATTACATGTCGCCTTCTTTCCCACCTCTCTGCTCCCCTTACATTTGCAACAGTCTCAAAATCTTCCCGTGTACCAACGGAGATCCACTGATTTCCCAATAACATAGGTCTCTGTCTTCCTTTTCACTTAGCTTGGTTCTCTCACTCAGTGGGAGCATACGCAGACACAACTTTTGCCATGAAGAGGATTTGGTAAGATTCTTTAACGTCACCTTTTAAGGCCAGGGGGGCTGCCACAAGTGGAGGATCATCATCCTACAAAAAATGTACACATAAAACCAACTTTTTTTTTTTTTTTTTTTTTAAAGAACAGATTAGTTATCAAGGTCTAAACCATGGATTTTGAATCTCAGTGGTAAAGTGCACCAGTTACAGCTACAGATTACCCCTCATCCCATCCTCTTGGCTCTTTCATATCCCCACACAGTGCTCATAGTGCAGTAAGTAAAGTGGCAATGATCAAGCATTCTATCTCGACAGTGCTACAGATAGCATCACCACATTACAACCATGGCAGCTGGGCACAGCAGCAACAGAGTATGCTGCAGTGAGGGCTGGGAAAGAAATGGGTCCCGTTAACCATGAATTAGTGTTAAATCTTGTTTAACAGTCAGGTTTACCAACAGGCACGATGTCAACCTGATACATCATGCCAGGAACTTTACATCCTTTCTTTCTGCACATGATAGCACCAATCTTTTAATTTTGGAACAAACTACTCATTCAGCCCTCCCACACAGCTCACAACAACAGCCAGGGAGGTAAATTCTTTCAGTCTCCAGGGATGCCCAAGCAGATGAATCAGCAGGAGCAAACACAGCCCTGCAGAGACATTTGGGTCTCACACCCAAACTCTGCAGCACAAAAAGGCAAAACCAGCCAGGGAAATAGGGTTCGTAAAGCAGTTCATGAAGTGGAAAATAAAAAAATTCTAGGAACACAACCAGCAAAAGGCAGCCCACAGCCAAATAAACATGAACACTGTGGCAAAATGATCCATGTAAACTTAGTTCTATGTCAGCAGGTTTTCTTGCACAGCTCACGTCAGTGTGACCAGAGCTGTGTCTGAATTATCAGCAGCAGCATTTTGTCACTGCATAATGCAGAATAACTTCTCACAGGTCACTAAGTTGTGTAAGGTGCAAGTGACTAATGCTTGTTCTTTTCACCACACCACCAAATGCAAGTCCGTGGGGAGGTTGCAAGCCTCCAAATCATACATATTGTTCCCACTTTTATTCTCCTATGGGTATTTCTACCAGCCTGTACTCCCTTTGGTAACTGCATGTGTCAAAACAGCCTGTACTGCTGACAGCCTCAAGATCAGTTTTTGTGTTTCTCTTACAACTCGGTGAAAACAGCCGCCACATGCCGTACACCAAGTGTAACTTACGCAGTAGTCAGCAGGTGGCACCCAAGAGACACGGATGCGTTTGACTTGACCCCACTCGATCATTCCCTGCGCAGGTTCAACAGTGAATCCCTTCTGCTGGAGGAGATGTAGGTCATGGAAGGCGAACTCTGTGTGCTGCGGGAGACAGGACACGCACAGGACCCATTACAGCCGGCACCAGGACTGCTCATTAAAGGTGGCGTTGTCCAGGTGCTGCTGCTTGCCATGCTACTACCACCCTTTGAAACCCCAAGTACCCGTCTTGTTCACATGTCAAGCTGTCATAAAATACTACACTAAAATCACAGGGTTGGATCTGTAATCCACCTCTGTGCTCAAACTTATGTATTCAGAATTAGGAGAGCAAACTGCTAAATTTTGTTGCTGACTTAATATGACACTGCTAATCCCTCATACCAGCCCCTGAAAAATTAGCCTTCCTTTTCAAACACTGATGCTTTACAGTTTATCAGAAACCCTGAAAGCTGTACATTTTAATTTATAGACTGAATTCTTGACAGAAAGGACCAGTAGCCATCTGTACTCTCTCAGTATTCGTTATAGCACTTGACATAAAACTGCACTTTTAATTAATTTTTAATTTTCTTCACCTTCTTGGGTGCAAAGCGAGCTGTCTGTATGGCTCCAATCCTCAGCTCTGTCACTGCTGGCTCTGGAGAAATCTCTCCATCCACGTACTCCAGAGTGAGGAGAATGGACTTCACTGGTTCTTGCAGCTCTAAACATAGTCAATTCAAGTAAACTTGGATACAGTCACAACTGGGTGAGTATCATTTTGGAGCAGGTATAGATTACACCAGAGTGGTTCAAAATGAAGTGATGTTGTGGTAAATTCATGAGTTGGTGCAGATAAGGTGACCCTTCTTACAGGCTTGGTGAAGAATTAAGCACAAGAAGGTTTTGCATAGTCTGCAGTTGCAAATTCATCAAGTTTCCTTCTCATTTTCTAGCCCCACGGCACATACGCTGTGCGTATGATATCCCTACTTGTGTATTGTATGTGCTTGGATTTATTTATAGCTCAGGAACTAGGATTTGCTTATGCACTGTCTCTGAACACAGATCCTGCCCAGAGAAATTAAGGAAGGATAAATTCGACCCCCTGAAAGTGTGACTGCTTCATAACTACACAATTGGGAAGGTCCAGGATATGTTATTACGTATGAAATTATTTTATAAACATTTAATACAAGTCAGAAGTGCAGAAAGCAAATACATCTTAATACTTTGTAGTAGTATTAAATTATAATAATTTTTACAAGGTAAGCTGCAAAGGCAGAAGATAGTCATTAAGATATAACTGCATTAAAATGAAGAGAAAATCTTTCCTTAAAAGCAAGTTTCCTGCTATCCCATAATGCTTATTTGTTCTGATTCTGGGAAACTTATCTTTAATTTACTGTTTCTGAAAGGATGAGGAATATGCCCATGTCTTGTCACTCCCTGTTTTATAATGAAGCAGTAGGATGTTACCTTCTTTTGGTGCTCCCTGTGATGACAGGGGTGGTGTTACAGCCAGGGACTCAACAGGCACATCCAGTGGAACTCCCCCTTCCACAAATACGGGATGATCTCTTGCTGCACCCTTTAAGTGGATCACATGGGCTATTTCCTTTGCAGGACAAGAATGTGTCAAACGCAGGTTACAGCTTAAAGTACTGATGTAGCAGGAAAACTGACACAACAGCAACAGTTGCATAGAAATTATTACTTCACCTGCTCACATAGATGCCAAGGGGCCCCGTTCTCTAGCACAACAACCCCACTTTTCCCCTCGCCTTGTCCACTCCTGTTTTAAACAGCCCGTCATTCCGCGGAAGCAACCTCAGGAAGGCACTGGACAAGCTGTTTATACTAAAGCCATTAAAAGAGGCAAAACTTATCTGCTGCCAAACTTTGCTAGAGTTTGTGACCTAGGACCAGACTCCATTGATCTTCATCTTATTCTGATTTGCATTCTTAACTGCAATTCCAAAGATCATCTGGAGATAACAACTTTGTAAGGGGAGAAACAGAACTTACTTGCTTGGAGATGGTGCGTGCTCCATGTCTGCCATACCTGCTGATGGTCCTTAGCTGGCACTCTCTATTAACTTTTGCTCAGTCTCCTTGGACATGGTGTAAAGCCCCTTGCTGTGCTGCCAGCCTGTATATCCTGACTTGGGCTCCATCTAAGCTCAGCGGCTGCTCTACAGATGGAAACCTCCTTCCTCACACTGTGTGACTGCAGAAGCAGCTCCCTGGTGCTTGGTGCACCTGCCAGTGGCACCATGCACGTGGAGCTCTGCTCTCCACTGCCATTAAACACTACTTGCAGAGAACCCACTTGGAGCTGTGCTCAGCAGGGTGGCAGCAGCCCACCTCCCATCACCTCACATTTACACCATGTGGACAGCTGACAGAAAACAGGACTGAACCCCAAGTCACTGCTGTCATCAATTACTAACCGAATATTTAAAACCTGAAAAGTCAGTGGGCCCTTCTCCTACTTACATCAGTTAATGAATAAGATATTTCTGCCTATGAATACTATCCATTAGATATAATTATCTGAAAATCCTAAAGCCCATGCTGATGAAAATCACTGCAGGTCATATTTAGACTTTGATTTTGTAATACAGGGATTTTGATTGTCTCACCTTGTCAAAGAGTACAACCTTGAGACAGTCAGAATAGTACAGGCTTTCATGATCAGGACTGAAAGTAACAACAAAATCCTGACTCTTCCCAGCAACAATCTCTCCTTCTGTTGGAAAGATGCTGAACACACTTAGGCCATTATAGTTCTGTGTTCCTAGTAAATAAAAATGAGGATGGAAATAAGGAGGAGAGCAGGACAGCTTCATTTTACTTCTGCATATATTTTAAACCCATTTAACTTTTTTTTTGAACAGCAAATAAATAAGCTCGATGCATGGTTTTGCAGCAGAACAGGGTGTTAGAAACACCCAATACAGCCAGCGACAAATCTAATGCATTCATCTCTAGCGGAACCAAAGCAGCATCACCAAACCCTTCCTATATTCTAACATGTTTCTACAGAGATGGACACCCCTAAATATAACCTTTAATATGCAGTTACTGTGTGGGTTTATTTAGATTCAAACACTAATATCTCCTTACTTAGGGCTATTTGCTCAGGCTGCATAAATTTACAGCCACACATACTGAAAAAACTAGTACAGCTCCTACCGGGAAACAAAATTGTGCCTTTAATTTCAGGGATGCTATGCCCCTGATTTTCACAGTTGTGTAGATCCAACAGGATAAAGTATTGCTGCTTTGTACTTTGGAGCTTTTAACAAAGGTACAAGACTAAAAGACAAGTTTACCAACAAGCTCTGTTCTTTGCAAAGAGGACGTAATAAAGGACGGAAGCCTCTGACGATCTTTGTCCCTTGCTGGTGAAAGTGAATCTAGTTGGATGGAGTATCGCAGGGTCAACATGGAAGTGTTCTGTATCTGATGACATTAAATTACACAGGAGCAGTTTCATTAAGAAAAATCAATTCTCAGGCCCATAGGATCCACAGTTAGTGAACTGTCTGAATTTATTTCACTGTATTACTGCTTTACTGTGTGCTCAGGTGCTCACTGAAAGCACATTTTATTGCTACCCATGATGTATCATGTCAGCTCTGCCCCCAAAAATGGGGACCAGGCTCCTTTTAAGAGTCTTGCATCAAGTAATACATTTTGGTTATTGACATACTGAGACAGAATCTGAGAGGAGAGGATCTTGGCCTGTTTCTGAGTCTGGAATTTGCAGTATATGAGTAAGTGAACTGGTTAAACATCCCTCAACAGCACTGTGGCAGATCCTTGTGTGCTCTTCGTAGGACCAGTTTTGCATTTCACCCATGTACCCCTGTCACTGCTTTGGCTGGACTCAGAACAACCAGTAGTAATGGGCAGAATAGAGAAACAGTTCTAACACTGGTAAAAGATGAGCCATTTCTTTCTTAATTCCCTTTGCGTTCTGGCTAGATCTATGGAGCTCTCACAGACCATTTCTTTTTCTTTTAAAGAACATACTGGCTCTATTTCTGTGCAGAGGCTGCAGGCAGGACATCAGCACCTAACAAGATCCTCCCTGCACAGCTTTGTAACCTTCACCCTGAAACTGTCTCAGCACCAGATCACTCTGCCAGACTGCCTTTAAAGGTGTGTTCTTGTCTACAGTTTGCCACTCGGCCTTGTGTTCTGCTGGACTAAAAACTACAGAACTCCTCTTCCTCCTTACAAAAATTGCTAGTATGCTTTTGGTTCAGCACAGAGGGATTTACCTTGAATGTGGAAGTCACCTTCTCTTTGGCTATGACATAACCCATATTGAGTACTTCTTCCACAGAGCAAACAACCGATGGTGTCACCCCACGGCCAGCGACAGTCAGGGTTAGGTTGGTCTTTGCTGTCCGGATATCCAGTGTTTCAAAGGACTGCCCAGAGGATGTCTGCGTTAGCCCAGTTGCTGAAAGGAAGACATGCTTCACCCTTCCAACTGCCCCCCTCCCACAAATGGTCCATTACCCATGGATTTAGTGCATTGACAAAGACCTAAATGTTAGGACTGGGTAGGTACAGGCAGTAAAGTTTTTCCTATCATACAGCCCCATCCCAGCCAGTAATATGTGTACATCACACAGCCAGTTACACTTCTTCATATCTCCTCTTTTCCCCCCATTACTGTTGTATCTCTTACTCACCCGTTTATTCTTGTTGGGACCAAAAGAGATGATGAGGGGTTTATTTTCACCTGGTTCAAGCATTCTAACTGCTCTGACCAACAGGAAGGGACCGCTGGGATTCAGAACTGAGAATCCTAGCTGAAATGGTGCAGCTCAAGGAAAAGTTTATAAACAAAGACTGGGGGAAAGGATACAAGAACAGATTCTAAGTATTGCTCAGACTGAAGATGTATGAAGTAACATCTGTAAGCTTTTTCAGAGATCAGTAACTCAGAGAAAAGAACATCATACTGCATTAAAACCAGCTGAGTCATCAGTACCATACACTCTATGGAAGGTGGTTAAGTGCTTCTCAGGTTTGGCTCTGTGCAGAATGATTTCCAGCAAAAGGGTGAAATGGAACTCACTTTCCAGCAGGTCCCCTTGGCTTCTCCAATATATTATTCATATTACCTTCTGCCTCCCTCTGAAAGATATGTATTGAGCCTGAAATCTGCTACCTCCTACTTCCTCCTCCAAATAGAGAGCCAAATTAAACAGGATATGAACAGCAGTTTCTCCTCCAAATAGAGAGTCAAATTAAACAGGAGCTGAACAGCAGGTTAACTCCTGTGTTCCAAACAAGGATACTTCCAGCTTCTCCGGGGTGATATTTTGTATTGTAAGTCGCTTCATCATTCTGTGGCCTGACAGGAATGAAAACAGTTCCAAAAGTGATGCTGCTCACTCATATACTACCATTCCTCCTTTAAGTCATGCTTCTACCTGGTCCAAACATGTTCAATTTCTATGGCTAATCCACACATCGAAGCTCACCAAAACACTTCCAGATTTGGACAGTCATTTACAGAGCTTCCAATTCCATGTTTTGGGATTGAGCCTGCTTTTTCACAAGCCTCAGCTGGACAGATAAGCTCCTAATTTTCCACCGAAGTACCTATTACAGGTCTAATTTCTACCTTGACTTTTGAAAATCAACTGAACAATGTAAAAGGAAATGCAAAACCACACTCAGAAGAAAACATCAGATAGAGAAAACTCAAAACTTGAATTCAAATTTCATACCTACTGCAACATCACCAAAATCAACAGTATTCTTCCCATTATTTGAAGTGACCACAACAGATGGGGCTACAGCTGGACAGTGCAACTCCAAATACAATGTGTTGTAGGGGCTAGAGAGATAGTAAAAAGTTATTTGCTTTCGGATCATAAAGAAACATTGTCAGAAATCTGTTCTTATTCTGCTCATGTCACAGGATATCATTAAATTGGTATTACAAACCAATACATAATTTGGGGTGGCTGGTTTTTGTCTTTCTAAGCAGAAAGATGAGCTTCATCTGGCTTAAGTTTCCCACACACTTATTCTTTAAGCTGGTTTAATTTCATGTGTTTGATTCTTACCCAACTAGTGGGTTGTAAGCATGAGTTTCTACCACTGACCTGTGAAGTAATTAAGACCAGAAAACCTATTTCCTCCCCAGATAAGTTAATTAACATGCCCACCACTTCCCCTCAGATTTCTGAACTATCATGAAGTGCAAATGTCTACCTGTAACTTAAGTTTTCGGAGCTTTTTTTTTCATTGATTTGTCCACTTGCAACAAAGCACGGTATGATGTATTTTTCAAACCTCCCACTGAAAGTCCTCATCAGGAAAGCCTCGGCTGCCATATACGCCTCAGAACTAGAAAATCCAGGAATAAGAATTATCTCAGTAAGTGAGAGAGCAAGGTAAAAAAACCCAAATCAAATATCTACTGAGCTATTTGTGTTTACTGTTTCTCAGTAATACATTCACAATTGAAGGGAACTGAATCTCAGTGACTCTCTTGATGTGCAGTAATGGACCCAACCCTACAAAGTGGTTTGTTTTTCTCACCAAAAAAGAATAAAAATTAAAACCCCAGATAAAACAGATGTTATACTAAAGACTGCAAATTCCTCAATACGATCCTTATGTTGAATACTTTAAGTATTCCAGTCCCTTCCAGTGCTTCTACATCATGTCAGTGATATGTAAACACACATGGTCACATTTCTCTAATGCAATGTGCCAATAAATGCTTCATAATGGGAGTTTTACAATATACATATTATTTTTATGACTTGTGTTGAAAGTATTTAAAAATTATAATGGATGAATTGCAAGGAACATGGGATTTTAGACAAAACATCCAGCACAGCCAAAGGCGTGGTGTTTAAACATGTATTTACTTCCAAACACTGTTAAATTCCTCAGATTAGGCAGAAGTGTGGGTCTAAAAAGGTGTATTATATGCTAAAAAAGGGACTTCAACTATAATTTTGCATCTAGGTACCCAAGTTTCTAGATAGGCTGTGCTATTAATCTTATTCCTTACTGAGGCAGACATATTGTAAAATTACTATTTAAAATGCACATTTTAGAGCATTGTGACATTTTCAGGACTACAGGTGACCATGAATAATATCATGAACTAGGTAAACCCCCAGAAAAGTAAAATTAGCCCATGGGTGTCAGCCCTTGGGTGGTTTCCATCTTGGATGAAGGTATGCAGCTCTCTTAGACCTATTTATTAGTAGTTTCATTTGGTAACTAGGTTCAGCTTTCTCATTGCCCTTTAAAACACCACCCTCATTGGTTCAGCCAAATTCCCTCACTTCCCAATACATTCTTTGAAGTCTTCAGTCCCTCTGATGCAGAGAGGGATTCTGTGCTTACATGAGAGGGTACAGCTGTGTGGCTTAAAAGCAGTGCTAATTTTGGAAACAGCTTTTGCAACACAGCTAAAGCTATTTTTTCTCTACACTTTGCTTTCTTGTCTACCTATAGGCTTTAGTAGATTTATTAAACTTCTTATAAGGAGAATATTGTCTACATAGTACAAGATGCTTTTGCTGACTTACTCAGGCCTTAACTCTTCAGGTTTTGGTTGCTCAGAACTGCAGAGAGAACTTCGGTATTTGCTGCCTCCATCCCTCACCAGCTGTCTGGAAGACTGCTGTCTGGTAATGAAAACGCTTAATTTCTTTCCCCCTCTCTTTTCATCTTTCTTCTGCAAATCCGCACACAAAGACATTACACACTGAGGGTGATCACTAGTAACCCAGTTAAGACATCAGTTTACAAATACATGGTCCCTGGCCCAAGGTTTCAGAACCAGGGAGGTAGTAAGGTATATGAAGCATGGTAACAGCAGTAGGATCATGGGAAGAAGCCATAGACACAGTAGTTACATTTCTCATTATATAAGATTATATTGGAATAGACATATCTTACCCCATCTTAAAAAAAGAGCTCCCCTATTGAAGCAGAGGATAAGAGACTGTACCTCTCATGGGAATTTTCCCTATTTATCTCATAATTAAAGACAACCATAGGGACCCACTTAAATTAAGTGACCCACAGCATTGCGTATAAAGTCCATGTATGCTGTCAATCTGCAAGAAGGGTAGAAACTTTCTGGGTTTTAAGAGTACTTGTACTAAGCTTTTGCAAGAAACTCCTTTAGGAATGCTTTTGAAATTGTTAGTGTGAAATTAGGTTATTGCTTAGCAAACAGAATACACATTAAGTGCAACAGTACAGTCCTACTCTTGTCCCTTATAAGCAAGTCCTAGATGGATCATGAATTTGGGCTTCATTAATATGCAAATGATTTTATGATAAAAATATCATCCAGAGAAACAAATATCTGGAAGTAACAGCCCAACCAGCACGCGCTGCTTCTTTGCATCCCTTACTTGTATTTCTGCCCCTGCTGCAGCTGCTCTGCACAGCCTCCGAACTGCCTCTTCTCTGATGAGCTGATCTGACAGTGTTGGTCTGAAGGACACTTGAATCAAGCTTTTCTGGGAGCAAGAGAGCACACACAAGAGGGTTGGCAAAATTCAGCCCTCCATGTGTATTTCACCTACAGAGCTCAACAGGAGCATGGACATCACAGCAAACAATTCACAAAGTTTTTTTCCAGCGAATAAAATGATCCTGAGGATAAGGCCACTTGCAGTTTTCTGGATGTCCCCTGTGTTACAGTGGGCTGGTTTTACATGGCCAATATTTTTGATCTCTCAGCATTGTTCAAATCAATCATAATGACAACACTGGGAAAAGAATGTCCAGGCTGAAAACTCCCCTAAGCATTAGCCAGATTTGATGGTTAACCCCCGTGTCTGCTTTAAAACATTATTTCAAACAACAGAAAATATGCAAACTGTTCTAACAGTAATTTACATTTTCATCTTTATTTACAAGTGGCAGCATATTTGTAGGGATGTGTTTGATCAAAAGATTTGTCAGAACACCTGATTTTTAAAGTCAATTTACCTTCCCAGGCAACACAGTTCCAACAGAAGGTGTGATTGTCACTGGACAGTCTTCTGGCACACAGAATTCAAATGAAGTGGGTCCAACAGGGGCAGCTTCCCCATTGCCAATCCTTGGGACAGTGTGAGTAAAGCGGTTGACGCTCACATGGGAATTCATCACGTACAGTGTTTCTGTAGACATGCCATTTAAAGCTGTTGCAGGAAACCGAACCAAGGAATGAGACAATTCGAGAGGTGGGTGGACTCCAACTGCTTTGCATGACAGCTTGTATTGTCTAAAAATAAGCACATGATAAATTGTCTCAGCATAAAATAGTCTCTTAATCAGCCCAGAAAATAGGGAACTAATCCCATAGTCCCTATTTAAGCAAAATTTCAAGCTTGCAATGGGAATTTTGCCTAAAGATGAACAATAATACTATCTATTTTTAATGCACAATTGGCTGGAGTCCCTGCTTGAATTCTTCCTCTGTGAACTTCTGGAAATACATCCAGTCAAATCAAAGTTTATGCCATCATTATTTTAGTAGCACTAGTTTAGTACGAAGTATTTAAAATAATAATAATCATGATAACAATAATAAAAACCTTCAGTAATTCAGCTGAAAAATGCAAGCAGAGCATTGCAGGTTAGAATGACCTGGGGCAAACTTGTAGCTTGGATATGTGACAAGGATAAACTTCAGGTGGGAAAGGAAAAGTGACCTCACTAAAGTTAGATACTTAAATGAAGGATGAAGCTAACAGGCATTGAGCAGCTCTAGTTAACTAGAGAATCCCTACCTGCCCCACATATTCATCCCAGCCTTACCTCTGCAGAGTAGGCAGGGATTTAATTTCTGAACAAGCTTAACAGTGGAAATCCAGTGTCATTTAGTCTACTACATTACCTACTACTCAATCAGTTTCTTAACATACCTATTAATCTCTGACTTGCAGGTTAGTTCAAAGCTGTAATCTTTTGCCTTGTTAGCTTTGAAGATTATGTCCAGCATCAGGCTTTCAAGAGGAAGAAGAATTCCAAATCCATCATTGGGCTGAATTTCAACAAACTTAAAAATGGCAGGATAAATTATTGTTATTAAAATAATAAAAAAAGTTAAATTATCAAATTCTTAATAAATTAAAATAAGCCATTACTGGCAAGATAAGAACATTTTGTTATTAAATGTACAAACATCAGGGAAACAGAAAAACATCAGGGAAACAGAAAACAGCTAGTGAGAAGCTTTCACCTGAGTCAGTGACTAGCGTCAGACTGATGTACAGGTTTCTAATCTCAAAGTAACTTGAAAGGCATTGAATCCATTAACTCAGACTTCAGTAGAATCTCTTCCCCAGCTTCTTACCATCCATAGTGTTCACCCTTCTCTAATGATGTTTATTTACTCTCTATAGACAACTGAATGAAATATGATGAAAATCTCAAGTTCCCCGTGTATCTTTGAGGAGCTGATTCCCATGTGTTTTGCAGATACCATAGTGACAAAGACCAGTTTAATATCTACAAATGTGCATTGGTTTGTTTTTGAGTTGATGATGATTCAAGAATGTCACATTTTACGCTAATCAGGAAACACATGCTGTGAAGTAAAGCTTTAGGAAGCTGAAGATACCACTTTTTTTTAGCCAACTCCATGATTTTAATACCTAAAACACCAGAGAAAGAGAGACCGCCTAATTAAATGTCAGATTCCTCTAGCTCTGATTCCACCATTTCACACTCCGATCATCATGTTATTATGAAGCTGGAACAGCTAACTTTTTGCAAAAAACACACTAATTCAGCAGACCTTGCCCCCACAAAACTAGCAGATCCTGTGATTAATTCTGCTGCCACGCCAACTTACAGTCAGTCAGAAACACCTAGGGATTATCAGGGATGATTCCCAATAAGCAGTTTAGGCATGGCTATCCTCCTTTAAAGCTTTTAGGCCCCGGGATGCAAACTGAGTGATATTGCTCATTCCCCTAACGTGTGTGTTTCCACTGTGCTGCAAGGCAGAAGCATTTCCATGGGTTTGCAAGAATCAGTTATGATGTATTTACACTCACATTGAAACATGCTTTCATAATAGTTAAATCTATTTTGATTCCAGAAGAGGTGTGTGTGGGATAGCTACATACCTCTGGAAGCCCCACAAATCCAAACTCTTGTGGCAAGATGGATTTGTTTGTTAGCACAACGCTTGCCTGCACAGCTTCATAGATTGTGCAGTATCCAAAATTGATTTGTGCTGGACTGATTTCCAAATCAGCAGTAGTAACTATTGCATGGACAGTAACGTTAACTTTTTTAGCCTGAAACAAATGCAAGAAGAGCACAGGATAAAAACCTCCATCTTGTACCATTGTAAGGGAAGGATTTAAGTGAAATATCATCCAAAAAGATAACTGCAAAAAAGTTACCCTATTCCTTGACGATAACATATATAAATGTAACATATCTATCTTGTGAACTTCAGCCTCACTTTTCTCCAAAAATAAGCAATAGAAAATGCCTCTTTGATAAGCAAAACTAAAATAATAATACCTGTATCTCAAATTCCCTATACTAGGATGGAATCACACCTGCATCTCCAGGGAATGTCAACTCTAAGAACATGCTACATCAGCAGTACATATCAGAATAATAAGATTGTGCTATGGTACCTGATGACTCCCTGTTTGACAAAACAAACTACCAGGGAACAGATGAGTGCTGACTAGGAAGGATTTAACTTTCCATATGGCAAACATGCTGGCAAGAAGACACTCTTAAATCTGTATTACCACTTTAAGCACCTTTTGCTGTTATTGTAGGACTCCAACTAGCAGAGAACTCATCTAAGATTAGGCATCATTAAGTGAGCATTCTCTAAAATAATTTACATCTATTATCAGCTCAATAACCAGTGTAAGAAAAATCCCCAACCTTATCCACAATGAGAATTGTCACTGGAACCTCCAGAATTCTTGTCTCTTCATTAAAATAGCTCCCTGCATCTTGAGAAAGAGAGTGCCTAAAGATCAAAAACTACATTCAGTTGCATAAAAATACTTTGATTATTTTCTACCTAAGGGGAATGATGAAATGAAGTTAGAACAATTGACCTTGTCTGTTCATGTTGGCTTTTTTATTTTTAAAGACAGGATTTTGGACACACAGGAGTTTAAGGGAGTTAATTCAGAGATGTCTGCATCCATTTATCCTTTTTAAAATGCCATCCAGTCATTTCAAATTCTGAAAAATGTAAAGCTTACTTTACAATCAGAATACAAAGCTCCTGCAACTACAGCACATACCCAACCCCACTGAGGCAATCATTCCCCTTTGACACTGGTGTCAGTTAATTACCAGCCGCTTTGAGGCAGAACCAATTGCACCTCAAAGCACAGTCATAAATAAAGTGAAACAAACTTGCAGAGCAACAGCGTCTGATTATCTACCAGAACAGTGATTTATAAGAAATGTAGGTTCTCTGTAGCTGCAGCATCTTGCTATCATAAGCTCCATTTTAGACTTCAAGCCAAGACAATATGAAAGCTGCAGAATTTTTAGCTCTGCTTGTCTATTTATAGTGTCTTACAGCACCAGAGTGAATTGCTTCCTGTTCTTAGGTCCCCACAGTGATAATGTTCCTACTACTACTGCTGGAATTACATGCAATTTTTTAATGTATTGTTAAAGAACAGTTAATGAATAAATAGCACCCACTCGGTCACCATGGTGATCTGAAATCTTGCTGGCAGTTATTCTGCAAGTCGGAAATATGACTTTAGGCGATCTTCAAAGGAATTGCTAACTTGTTTAAAGATGGGAACTGGAGTTAAATACAGGGTAGGAATAAAGAATCAGCTTTCACTTTGTCACAGCACATTAGAGTAGCAGAAGAAATTAATCTATTACAAAATAATCCAGAGGGAAAGAAAATAATTATAACTGTACATACGCAATGATGGACTCTAAATTAGCTATTATGCCTTGGGGGAAAGACACTGAAATCCTTCGGATAGTTCTCTGAAAATGGCCTTTTCATGCTTAAAAGCAATTAAAGAGAAGCATAAAAGACAAATCAGATTTAGACTGCCAGCATCTGCAAGACTAGTTCCAAATGCAGAAAACCTAAAACACGTGGTATTCGGGAATTCTGAAAGTCAGCACATTAGGGAATTTGCCTTCAAATAAACAGAAAACGTCTGTTTCTGATATCCAGAAAGATGTGAGTATGGTCACATCTGAGTAACCATTTCAGTGTGCCCGGAGTCCTCGGGAGAACTCAAGCCTTCAGCCATCTACCTGCTCACTGAGGATAGCTGAGTGAGGGTTCCTTTATACTTTCATGCTACTTCTAATACAGCTGTTCTATTAATAGAATAGAGCCTATAATACCAAGTCAATGAGGAGGCATTTTCAGAAATGTGTCACTAGCTCAGTACTTCACATGGGCTTGTAGCAAGCTCATCCTCTGTCATACACACCCTTCCCCAGTCTGTTAGGGCTTTTAAAACTAATCCGTATGCCAAAACAGCCAGATACTCATTTTTTTTGTGTGTGTCAGAAATGCCATAATCTCATCAAATCTCCTTTCTGAAGATTCCCCCTTTTTCCAAGGAAGGTTAATGTTCTAAATCCAGGCTATGCCTGTATCCACTCAGTAAGTGTAATGTGCTTTGCAGCATCTGAAGTTTAGGAATGGGAAAATGCCATAATAATGGTCACTGGTAGGATTTGAGATGTTGGAAGGACTGTAAATACTTAGTTATTTGAATACTAACCTGGTGACAATTTAAAAATCCATTTAGCATCCAGAGATCCTGAGTATATCAGTGAAAATCCAAATATACCTACATTGATAGGACTCAATAACCTCCATGACAGAAGCAGCAGGTCTGCAGCAGCAATCAGCAGAGAAGCTTCTAAAGTATCTGGCTGAACACCAGAACTAAGATCTGTATCATTTAATTTATATTTGAAAATGAATGTCCTGCTAAATTCTTTAGGATGGCAATGATGAGGTAAGTTAACAGTGGTCAGCAGGAGCTCTTTATTTAAATTAAAAAGAAAAATTGAATTCCTTGTTTCCTATAACTGCGTTCCATTTGTATATGTAGATGTATCACAAAATGGACAAAAGAAATGCTGGGATAGGCTTTTAGCACCTTAGAAGATGTTATATAAAATGCCATATGAAATTCAAGATCGATACATTCGTATCTTGAAGAAACATGTAGGAGAGATATGAACAGGAAGCCCAAATGTTTTTACCTTAATTAGCAAGCACAGGAGTTCTTGTCCAGAAATTATTTAATCAGTGATCCATGAAGTAGCCACCTGCCTAGAGAACCTCGCTCTTGTACAAGAATAGCTTCCCACAGAAACAGGAACAGCCTACCAGGAATGCAACTGCAAAGATTTTCACACTGCTGCTGTCACCACAGGAAGAGCATTTCCTCACAGGTATGTGATCCAAGTTAATTTCCTCCTTGAGCATCTGGCAACTTAAGGGGGAGAAAAGGGGGAGACTAGGACTGCATTGACACCAGCAGTGTGAAATACAGAAAAAACTCTGCTCAGGTTTTCCACTGACAGCCTCCTACAGATACTGTTTTAAAAACTGGAAAGATTCATGTTGTTACCTGGGCAGAAACTTCAGTTGCACGCTGAAGGATGCCTGAGCTTGGATGTAACCTGATTTTGGAAGCAGCTCCATGTGCTTACTCAATTCTTTGCATACTTCAAACTTCAAATGTAGTGTGGCTTTTGCTCTGCAAACAGATCAGACATGCTTAGGAGGCTTTGAGAGTACCTGCACTGCTATCAGCAACGTTTGTTCTTGGAGTTTGGTTCAACAGCTCACAAGTGCTTAATGTCCCAGCCTGTACTCAGAAGAATCAAAACTATGAACCTGAGAGAGCATAATACACCTATACCACCACCAAGTACCCAGTTTGCGAATTCCAGTCCTCCTCATTATCATCATAATTATCTCAACAGCTTCAATACCAAAACTTAAACCTATATAGGCAAGAAAAACACTCAAGCTCAGGTGGGGGGATGCTGTTCGATGCCTGAAATTCACTGAGAGCACTGCAGCTTTTGGTGTTTCTCCCCAAAACGGTGGTGACTTTTTAAATAGATGTGAATTCAGAGTTCTCTGTAACTTCTCTAACAGCAGAGATTCTACAGGGCTAGAAGTCACAGTGGGGCTAAGCTGGTACTGCCAGTTCCTCTGCTAAAACCTGTGATCGGTTTGCCCTCTGAATGGCACACTGGAAGCTGGGAAACATCTCCCTGTTTACTGAATTCTGTCCATATTATAACACAGTGATAGCCACAGACCATACCCTGCTTTGGAATTTTATGGCCAAGTGCGAAACTGCCAAGCAGTTTACAAATATTTCAGCTTGTCATTTTCCTTCTCCTGGACTGGTTTACAAGCTGTCAGTCCAGATGGTCTGCTCTAAATCAACAGCTACAGCATGTGGTACTGGGAGCCTGGAATGATTTCCTACTGTTGACAATCTATGAGAACTATATACTACTTCATTAAAGCAGTGCATATTATAAGCTGCCAAAGAAAATACTTTGAAAAGTGATTTCGGTACGAGATCTTTCATCCTTTATGTTGCCTGATTACCGATGTGACCAGAAAATAAAAACCAACCCCCAAAACATAACCAGTATTAACCCACGTTTTGCAATCTCACAGAGCTTGCTGGGGCACTTACATGCCAGAGCTATCTAACCTGAAAACTTTGTGCTCTACATCTGCTATAGACTACAGTATCATAGATCTTCAGCAGCAAAAAGATACAGGCAAGTTCTTTCTGCTCTGCTCTTGGCAAATGTTTGTGTGTGCTGGCAGTGAACAAAGACTATTTGAACACATTGCCTTTCTCAGGTCTGGGTCACATTTTGCTCTGAGAATCTGAAGAATTCTCTCAGTGTTTTAGAGTTCTTATTTGTTGGTTGGTTTGTTTCAGCTTTTTATTGCTATAACTGGCTAGCGATTGGAGCAGAAATTTGTAAGAATATTCCTGAATAGCAGGAGTATTTAAGTATGTAATTAACATTTAATTTTAATTAAAGAATCTCTGTTCTAGAAGTTATGGAAAATAAGATTTCACATCTACTGGATCTGAACTTCAGACTCCTTAGCTAAAGCTTCCAGCAGTTGTCAGACAAGCTGCCTTTCCAACTGGGCTGCAGTACCTTTGCTCTCCCTTCAGTGAATGGTTGTTCCAAGCATTAGCACAGGCAGCACTGTAGTAACTCTTCAGCTGATACACAGTTCACATGTAAAGCTGCTGTAACAAATTATTCTCTTTGGTGGTATGTTGACAGCTTCTTTGCTAGCCTGGTCATAGCCCTTGGCTCTGGATCATTTGTCTGTGCACAGATTCAGGCCATAGACCTTCGGCCAGACCACCTTTCCCCAGTTTTTCACTGTTGCAATCAAAATACAGCTAGTCCATCCTAAGAACTTATTCTTGACTGATAGTAATTTCTACCTATTTTCAGCAGTTGAAGTTCATTCTGTTTGAGAGGTGGTTTGACATGTACCGTGTACAATGAGGAATCCTATGATACACGCTACAGGGAAACGTCAATACCTATTAGAGGAAGAAGCTTCTCAGTCACCACATCTGAATGAGGAAATTATCTACTTTTGCAGAATAAAAAGTTGAGACAGGATATTCCAGCACATGAAATACTTTGAATTTCAGCCCAAACAAGTGTATAACAAAGACAATTCTTCCTAGCTGTGGAAAACTGAGAGATAAATCAAGATTTGATTTGCCATGGTACTAAGGCACGTATCACATATTAAATGCTCTTAAATTAGTGAAACTTGGCAAAGGATTAGCAGGATTTTTTCCTCTGTTAAGAATTTTGCCCTGAGCAATTTGACAGCTGCGATCTTTGGGATCTCTTGAAATCTTAAGTTTTCGTTAGAAGAGTTATTCTGCTGCTATACCTTCAAATTTTATCCCTGGCTTATCTAGACCAAGTAAATCACTTACATAACTTGAGCTTGTCATATCTGTAAGCTGAATTTCTGAGATAACAGCTTTACTCAATTCTTTCCAACTGTGAAGAATCTCTGCAGCCTGTAATTCTGGTAAGCGGTTTAGAATGGATGCCTTCTACAGAACCACTCTCTCCCCCGCCCTCCCACAAACCCACCCTAATCCTATTTAAATAGAATCTAAGAAATGCAGATTGTTAAAAGAAACATCCAGTAGTGACTGCATTAGGTAGAGAAAAGAAACCTGAAGCACCTGAAGACAAATAAAAGTAAAAGTTCATTTAAACACCCTCTCATAGCGCGAAAGCTCTTGGAGACAACAAACTGAAATATTCTTTTTATGTTACAGTGCAAACAGAACCAGTCTCCAACCATTACTGATTTGGACTACAGAAACCCAGGTACTTCTTCCCCTGTAAACTGCCATTTGGCCACTCTCTGTGTACTTCCAACGTTTGTGTCACTCCAGTGCAGTGCTTAAGGCCTATACGGGTAAGAAGAAGTTTCATCCTGCCCATTTTATAGCACATGAAAAAGGACTGACATGATTTATCCAGCATCATATCCCAAGTCTGGAAAGACTGGTGATTGACCTTCTCAATAAACAAGCCAGGCATAAGCCTGGCTTCCAGATCATAATCTCCCATGGATTTTAATTAAAATAGATGAGAAATAACAAAATATCCTTTCATAAGGTTCCCTGACTGAATCGATTATACCCAACATGCACTTAAGTTCAGACACATTTATCTCCCTTATACTTACTGTGCAAATTCCACACGATCATACTCTGGGATTGCTATTCCCTGGGGACCTTACAGTTATTCCACAGAACAGGCACAATACAGGGAATCTTGTAGGAGTGGAAAGGCACATATTAACCCAGATACTTCCTAGCTACGGCTGGTCTGGGAATCTCGGATAGTTGGATACCCAAGTCCAATTTCCACAACAGCGTGGAACCCGAGGGGTTGTAATCAGGGTGTCCTCCTGAAATGCCATGTTAAAACGAAACTGTTCTTTAGCTTCCTAAGACAGTAAGACATGCCTGGCACAATGGAACCTCAAGATGTCACCCGTGACTTAAGATGTCATTATTCGGCTACTGTATCAGGCAGCTGGTAATGAAAGGGTCACTCACCTGCTTTGAATGACAATGCAATCCTGGTAGAGCCGGTCATACATACAGATCTTTAAATCAATGTTGGGATTGGGCACCCAAACTGGCATATCCATAGAAACTCCAATGGCACTAAAGCACAGCTGTTAATACAGAAATTATTGGTTTATTGGTCTCAGATTCTTACAGATCTAGGCACAGCAAGAATTTCTGCTGTAAACTATGGCAGAATAAAATATTTTATTAGTCATATTGCAACAGGTTCTTTAATTAAGCAAAGCTATGAAAATCATCTGTAAAATAAACCCTAGATGTTACGGTGTCCCAGCAGAAAAAGAATTATACTTTGGTTTGGGCTCTTTGACAGAGAATATGAAGGAATTGCACGCTGCCCGGGATACTAAAAAGAAATATTTGAAGTGCATCTAGCTTAAGTGAATGTGCCATAATGCAGAAACTCAAGAGGCTACAGAAATTCAGTGATGGCAGCACAGTGCTGTACTTCCTACAACCATCTCAGGTCTGACAGCAGTGACCACAAAGCTCAGGCCTGGATAAGATGATCCTTCAGTACATGTGTGCAGCTCCTTCTGTAGATGACTCCACCTCAGAGCCGAGACCAGCTTCTGAGTTGCTTGGGAGGTTTTCTTTTTTTTTTTTTTTTTTGGCAAGTTTCTGTGAACTGTTCTCAGGCAGAATTTGGCTTCCAATAAAGTGTAGAATCAAAATATAGCTGAAGTGGTAACTGAAGTTGTCATCCCTTCCAGCTTTCACACATCAGTTTCACTACTGCATGCTAAATAATTCCAATTCCGATATCTCAGAAAAAAAATAAACTATGTGGGTTGGGAGTAGAGAAGAATACTTTGGTATTTGTTTCCAGAGCGTTAGATGTTTTCTAGCATGATGTGTGATAAAATGGGAATAGCGTGATTATTTACATTTAAGAGAATCAACAGGTTTAATAACCACACTGCATCAGAAAGAAGGACCATGATTTACAAAGTTACCTCCCATCAAACCACATAATACACAATCACATGGCACCTTGCTGTTATTTCTTATAATACCCATAAATAGATCTGTCCTCTCCCTCCTTCTCTTGTTTCTAATGTAGGACTCTGAGCTCTTTTTATTCTTGGGGAAAGCAGAAGTAGGAGGATTTAAAACTTTTTATACAGTGTTCTGAAGCAAATCTTCCACAAAATCACTCACTGGTTTGCAGTCCGAGTTGTCAAACACAATCACAAAATCTGCCTGTACATCCCCAGGAACAGCTGGCACAAACAGAATCTGAAGTTTGACTGAGCTGAAGGGTTCAATTTCACCTTCAGTAACCTAAACAAGAAGTAACATGTTTGTAATGAAAATGACTGTGCTACTTCAGCTGGCTATAACTTGTACTGAAATAAAGCAGCAGTATATACTCACATTATACAGTGTACTATACCTAGTTTGTAACTAGACTGAACACAATATTCAGTATACAGAATTTTCCACTCAAATTAAGTCTTTATAGATCAAATGAAAGGGCAAATGTGTCATGTGATTTCATTTGAAGAATTAACTGTGATATAGTGAAGTCCAGTGGGCTAGAAATGGATTCTATGATTCTCTGCACTTCAGCATTTCCCACTGAAGCTAAAGCAATTTATTTGATGTAGGCTTAGACTAGTGAAAGTCTTGTCTGTAGCCCAGGATATTCATTACCTTTCCAAGCATCATTTCAACTGGTGTTTCTCCAGGAGAAAATTCCACTAAATTGTGTGCAGTGCCTGTGTGTAGATCTGATCTGGAATTTAATGTATCTTGACAGAGATGTTCTGCGGAAAAAGAACAACTCACATATAGATCCAACACAATGCTGGATGTGTGCATTTATTCACTAAAATATACGAAACAGAGCAGAAGTACATTGATTTTGGTCAATATTGCAAATCCAACAATGCTTACCAGTGATGAAGAAATAAGTGTCCAGAAGGAATACTCTTTGGTCATCTTTGCCCTAGCCTCAAAGCCTGAGCCTTCCACTGCAGAGTAATAGTATTAATGTTTCAGTAGGCTGAAGTTTATACTGAAGATTGTTACATCAAGGAATGAAAAGTCAGATGAAAGCATGAACTAGGCTTTGAGAACAATTTCAGTGGGACAAGGCAATGCAGACAGGAGGACCTGTGACACAGGTGGAAGTGTTGCTTCACTTGATCTTCAAAACAGCTGCAATAATAACTACTTTCTAATTAAACAGTCTCCCACTGGGGCTTCAAAGTCCCTTAAGCTGATGCATCTTGAGAGAGGTGAAGCTAACTAACTCTGGACTGTATGGCTGTAACCAACCTGCAACCACATGCTTCACATTAACCAGGAAAAAGATCAAGGTGTCATGAGGTAAGTTCATGTGCCACAGCAATGGAATATACATTTGGTTTTGGTTTTAAGGTCTGAAAACATCTCTAAAGGTATGTGTTCTGTGGAGAGAGCCACCATGATTTATGGAATCACTCCATTTCACAGTACAGATTCAGATGTAAAAAGAAAAAAGCAACACACAACCTTTTCATGGAACTTTTAGTTTCCTAAAGTTGGAATGATGAATATCCAGAAGAAATGTTAGAGAGTACAGTTATAAAGAAATTAGGAAAGTCTCTTCTACACATTGGATTTCATTAAGCCCCTAGTAAACATCAGGAACGAGATGGAAAATGTCTGAGGAGGTTCATCTTTCTGCTTCCTTGTTCCTAGAATTACAGACTATAAAAATAAACCTGTCATGTGAATTTCTATTCCGAGCAGTGAGTATTCAGTTGCTGAGACAAGAATGATGATAACAATTTTGCAGTTTCTGTAAGCTAGTTGCTTTCTGTATTCTTCTGTGACTGAATTGTGGATCACTAATGAGAAGCGGGAGTCGCTTCTGCTTTTGATATAATGGTGTCAGTACGTTATTTTTAGTCATTTTTTGTGAGGCAGCATACAAAGAAAGATAACGTTACCATTAGAACGATGAACTACTTAATCTACTGAGTAACTCTGCAAACTGAATTCCACAGTTCTTTACAGGAAACTCTACAAAGGGATAATGCTTTACATGGGAACTGCACTGCAAGTTTTCTAGACCAGCCATCTTACCTGTGGAGCTCCTGCTCAGGCTGATCTCAGTCCTCTGTGGCTTCACCTGGACTGCAGAGTAGGTCACTTCTTGACTATGGTCAGGACCAATTTGTTCCTTCCTTTGAGCCACAGAATTCACAGGACTGTTGCTGACTTCCTTTTCAAGGACAGAGTCGCTAAGATGTTGAGTAACCTATCAGAAAAGACGGAAAACCTTTTATACTGTGACTACCCACCTAGCTTACACCTAATTTTATTAGGTAGCTGCAAATCAGACTTGTGTTTTCTTGCAACTGTTCCACATTATAAATGGAGAAATGTGTTGTACTTTCCGAAAACTGCACATTCTACTAGACCTCTATCAATGAGCAGGTTTAATTTTTGCTGGCTGCCCCAAAAAGGTAAATGATATAATGGGAGCCATACAAGATGGTGTCAGTTATTTCACAATTAACGGAATTAACATTTTTCTTGTGGAAGCACAAGCAGCTCTATTTCAAAAATAAGTCTGCTAAAGCTAGATTTCTATTTATTACATACCTGCAAGAGATAGAATACAGAAGGGGAACCACAGATACAGTATTATTTCACAAATTCTTTATTTGAACCATGCTTCTAAGGGTAGCATGAGAGTCGAACACCATGGTGAGCAGCTTCACAGTTTCACTGTACATACTATTCAAGGTAGTTTTTCCAGAGATCAACACTTTTCTTAGAACTTAAAAATTGGTTAGATCATCAAGTAGAGGATTTTGAAAACCATCTGAGCCAATTCTCTTCAACAATCAAAGCAATTAAAGACTGCACTGATGGAACAAAGATGAAGTGTCTGCACTGTGTTTACAAGAACACATAAGCACCTCATAACAACAACATGTAACCTGGTAGTGATATTGTCTCCAGTCAAGGGCCTGTGAAACCTATGAGACACTTGAGGAAAAAGGAACATTCATGACAGTGATAGTCATTAACACAGGAATTACAAAGCGTGAGTTCCTACCACAGTGGGTGGGTGGGTGGTTTTGTTTGGATTTTTTTCTTTTTCGTGTTTTTCACTTAAAATTATCTGCTAGGTGGAGGAGTATAGCTTTAGGATTCCTCAGTTTCCTGTCAAGTTTGGAGCGTGTATGCAGTAGGAACAATAAATAGCAGGTCTAACACCACACATTTTGTCAGCTCTGCATCAAATGTCTGAGTTTTAGTACATTTCAACAGTCGCTGCTTCATCCCTACGCAGGACATTCCGCAGGACACAATATTACAATAATTTGCATTCATTCCACTACTGGCTTGAGAGCTCTTCATTCAATTCTTTTAACACTATTTATTATTATAGTTTTCAGGTAACAGCCCTCAATGGAGAGGGGAATGTTTCTATTAATTTAGGGAAATGCTTTTGAACCTACCATTCTTCCAGGAGCATATTCTGCTGTTGCTCTGCCTCTACAACTATCACCTGCTGACATCTGAACTCTGAATCTTGTTCCCAAAGCTCCACTGTTTGTCAGGCTGATGGTCTGTGAAATTGTTTCTCCCACCACATGGCTGCCAAAGTCAATGAGCTCTTTATCTAATGCCAGCTGTGGAAGGATAAACCATTAGTTACTATTGTCCTAGATAGTCAGCAGTGTCAAATAAATGAGCATCCACCTTTTCAAGAATAAGACTTCAAAGTTCTTATATCAAACAACGACATGAACTGTGGGTATCCTCCTGCCTTTTTGTAGAAGCCAGCTCATTACGACATCCTGTTAAATTGAGCCGCTTCCATTTCAGTCCCGTGTATGACAATGGAAAAGACAGGTTAAATTCTGTTCATCGTAGCAGCCTTCATAAGTCTTCAGGTAGTTACTCTGGAAGTAGGTCATATTTACATTCCAATTCAACATTGTTACTCTTATGTTACAGAAAAATGGTTCTACTAGCACCAAGCTGGGATGCAAGCAGCATTTGACACCATACAGTGACTACATATCAGTTTGTACCACAAAGTAGGTAGCTAAAAAAGGTTAGTGCTATCTGTAGATCCATCTCTTAGCAGTAAGAAAATTATGTTCTTTACTTAAAATTCATTATTGCATTCTCAAAAGATCTTGAGATGCTGAAAGAAAGGAGATCTTATATGCTTTTTATAAATGTCAGAAAAGATAGAAAGATACTGTGTGATTTTCATCTACATAGAATATTATAGTTAAGAATAAGGTATTGCAGGTCTGGGATGAAATTTCCAAAGTATTCAAGGAAAAAAACCCTCATTTCCAGTCACTATTTCTCTTTGCTCCATTCACAGAATAGTATTGCATCATCAATTTTCAACAGTCACTTACAATGCATCTTTTGGCTGTACATTTCAGTGGGACAGCAAAAGAACCTGTCTGTGCCATAAACAGGACTTCTCCTTCCAGAGTTTCATTTATCTAGGAAACAAAACCAAAATCCCAACCAAGTATTTTGCAGAGATTTAGCCTGTGTAATCTGATGAAAAAATATTTTTATTAATTCTTAAATATTTTTAAATGTATCTGTACAGATTCTACATTTCCACTTTAAAGTCTTTGGTAGCTTTAGCCAGGCGATATAAATCTTTTGATTTGGAGCAAGTTTCAAAACACAGTCCAGGAGCACTTAGCGTAAGGCACTTTTCTAAAAAAATGCCCTTAGAAAATGCCTTATTACAATTCAACAGAGCTCCAACATGCACGCAGTTGTCCAAGGACCGCAGTACCTTTTCTAGAAAGGCATTTTGTTTTCTTGTTAACAGTTATATTAATGTTTTTGATCAGACCAGTGGATTGTAGTAGGATTGTCATCACTGTGTAACTTACCACTTCGGTGCACTCACCATTGGCTTGAATGTTACCACTACCTCACAGGACATTCCCGGAGACATTTTGCCAGGTGGGTCAAAACTACGGAGATAATTAACATAAAACTCCAAATTAGAGTTATATATGAAACATCCAGCTCCTATTCTGGGAACAATGTCAGATTACTCGTTTTTCCCCCCATTTGCATTAATTACTTAGAAAAGTCAGAATGAGTGACAGACTAATGATGAGCTACAGAAGCCTGCTGCAATTGTAAAACTACAAAGGCTGATTCTTTACTGAGGTTTTACTCAGAAAGCCTTAAAGTGATTTTAAAAGGCAAGAATTATTGCCTTCCTGCTACAGACAAAGAGACTCTAGCCAAACAGGTGAAGCTGGGGCTCAGTAATACCATCAACACCTATTAGAGCAAGTAGGAAGTAGTCTTCTGCCATTACCCATTTTGAGTATTGCTCTGTAACATCTGCCCTATCCAAAGAGGAAATGAAGAGAGGGAAAAAACCCCAAGCAGGTAGCTGCAAACGATTAGAGAATGTGCTGCTTGCTGCAAACTGCATCAAGATCATCTTGAATAGAAACTGCCACTCATTTCAGTGCCTCATTCCATCAACTCTGTGATACAAGTAAAATGCCCACCAGGACATTGAGTCAGAATCATGCTGTGAAGGATGGTGGCTTGTGAAAGATTTGCCTTGGCCTAGAAAGAAACTTTTACCTTTTTGTACCAACAGACACCTTTTACCCTTTTTTAAAATGGTCTGACTTTCGTGAAAACAGCTCTCTACTTGTTGAGGCTGGAAACCACCATAGGTCTATGCTGCTTTCCACAGGTCAGGGACTGTTCCCTTGCTATTGCCACTATAGAAGCCAATGACATGCAGCCCAGGCTCTGTAAACCTCTTGCATCTCAGCTCTGAGGCACAGTTCTTTTCCCCATCACACAGGAACGGAACACAGCAGTTTAGATGTATTTACTGAAATCTGTTTCACTTGCTACAGAATTTGGTTACATCTCCTGCTGTGGTACAAAGCTAAAACAAGCAACTAGACTATGGTTAATTTTACTTACTGAACACTTATGAAGTCCTTGAGCCATTCACTGATTCCCATTAGTCTGCAGCAATTAACACTGTAGGATGTATTTATCAAAACTATCTTCTTTTTGTAGACTTGACCAACATCAAAATCCTTGGAATACCAAACATAGCAGCTGGTGTGAATTACAGGAATTAGCATTTACACATATAATGACAAAAACAGCTGCTTTTACCACAGTTGTGCTTGACAGATCTAAGTAGTAAAACTAAGCAGTTTATTTAATCTGGCTGTGATTTACCTAAGAGATTGCTAGAGAAAAAGACAAGTACTTTTTCAGGTTTGACTAAAGATCTATTACAGACAACTAGAAATTCTTTTTTTCTCTCCAGTGCAACAGAATTTTGATCAAGACATTGGTATATATATATATATACAGTAAATAAACACATAATCTTTAGAGATCCTGTGCAGAATGACCACTAACCTTGAAATGAATGCAGCTTGGTTTACTATAGAAAGCACATCCCTTATGTTCACGACCAGAAACTATTTGCTTGTGAAAAATTCCAGTTGGGAATTCCTCCATTTTTTTCTCAGAAATTCCTTTAATCACTACCCCTGTAGCCAGTTGCTTTAGATCCATTTCTTCTTGAGGTGTCTATTAAGGAACATCCATAAAAACCACCATGATGGTCAGGAAGTGTGATCAGTTTGTGTTCACGTACCTCCAAATTAAAATTGAACTATCGTTCTCTCTTTAAGAGAACAAACACTACAAGAATAGTGTCCAACAGTTATTATATCTGAATCTCTGCATCTGTGTGCTAATTTTAAAGTCTGCATTTTAACTGTAAAATAGATAATTACTGGTTTTAAGTAAAGTTCCCAAAACAGCACTTGCCAGTGTCTTTAATTCACATGGCCACAACTACTAGAGAGGCAAATGAAGCTTTTCTAATCTATCAAGACACTTTCATGGATACCACCAAAATTTTGTAAGGATTAAGTTCACAAGGAGTCAATTACAAAAGGATCTCATCCACTTTTTTTTTCTTTTCTATTTCTTCTAAGAAATATCATAATATTTACCTTGTGCAAGTCACATTCCTGACGCCAAAGTCCTGGGAACTCTGGTTGTACTAGGATCTTGTCCCTCTCTTCCTCATCTTCACCACTTTCACTGAGCATGTCATGGGGTATTTCTGCAGAAATCTCTCCTACAGAAGCAGTTCTCTCACCAGCTGAGGAAGCAGCTGATGCTCTAGCTGAATGTTTGCAGGCCTTCTCAACGTACTGCCATGTCTTCATTCTCCATGGGAA